AAACTAAGGTCTCTCACCGACGAGGCGAGAAGACATCTCTTCTGTTTTCTCTTTTTCAGCTCGCTTGAGAGAACCTGGCTAAAAGAAACTCAGAAAACGCAGTGTTTGGAGCCAAGAACATCCGCCGACAACACAATAATCTGGACGCTCGATTGGCAAGAGCCATTATTCATCCTGTGAAGACTGGACTGGACCGGACTGGAAGTTTAAACTAACAATTTGAACCACGTTGCGGACAACTCCTCACAGGTTCTTTCGCGTCGGCCATGCTCTCCTCTCGGGCTCTTAATCTGCGGCGATGTATCGCGAACGTCATCGGCGTTTCGAAGAGATGCCTAAACTTGCAGGAGTATCAATGCAAAAAGTTGATGTCGGATTACGATGTCAACGTGCAGAGGTTCATGATGGTTCGTGAACGCGCTGACATAGACAAAGTCAAGAGCACTTTCAAGGTAACTTTACGTATGTATTTAACCATTCACAAAGGTTCGTGAGTTCGTTATAAAGGCTCAAATTCTCGCCGGAGGTCGTGGAAAAGGTGTTTTTCGTGATGGATTCAAAGGTGGTGTTCATCTCACCAAAGACCCCAATACCATGGCCGAGCTGACCCAGAAAATGCTCGGAAATTACCTCAAAACGAAACAAACTCCTCCAAACGGTGTTCTTGTAAACAACGTAAGTCCGTCCTTTAGTTAAATTATTTGGCTTTCCTATATATACGTTCGTGTAACTTCGGTTCTATAATAAATTTATCACCGGCTCNCGCAGCGTTAGTAACAGGGAACAGAGTGGGGTGGGATATAAAACAGGGTAAAAGAATAGTTGAATAAATACAGTGAACAACCGGAATAACAGTTTTATTGCTTCGCCGTATTCTTTTTCATGTTTTTGTCTTGTCATTATTCTTATGGTGCACGGGCTTTCACAAGCAGACCTTACAGCGTCCGCTCCACTGACAACTATTCCAAGGCAGATCTCTCAGCGTCTCTGACCGCCGCCAATCCTCATCCCTTGAGACTCACCCTGGAAGCCGGATTGCACCAACCAAAGCTGAAACTAGCTTTTTCATACCTTTACGCCATGACATGGTCTGGTCGCCGCGGCGCTTCTTCTAACCTTGCCCAGCACGTGCAAAAAGAGCACGGAAGGGTGGATGACTGGTCGGTCGGTTGTCATAATGGTTGTTTGTCAAATTGGTGCTGTTGATCAGGTGAACTAGGCTTCGAAGTGCTCCGCCCGGCTTGCAAGACGTCTCTTGATTACGAATGGGCGAGCCGTTAGCTTCGCAGACTGTCGCCCACACCCAAAAGCTTTCCTACCGGTGATCCGGAGGAGATAGAACAGCTTATAGGAAGTTCCGATAACGGCAGCACGTTCTATTTCTGATGCGTTACGAGCCCACCGGATTTGGTGATTTCTGCGTAGGCTTGCGTTGAGGTTACGTCTCGTTATGAATCGTGCTCACTTCCGGTCGTGAGTGATCGGGATGCTCCGAGAAGACCTAGAGACTCAGCGGAAATCCAGGGTTTCATGGCGTACCGACAGTTGGATCGTTCGTACTGGTTAGGAATAGACGGTGGTGGGAACATAGGGTCAACAGCCATTTTTCGAGCCACAAGATTCTAGTCCCAATGGACTTCCCAAATGCACCTCACTCGAGGCCAACCGGCCTACTCTAGCATTCATATCTCCCGCTGAATTCACGATATCGGCCTGGTTCGTTCTACGCAAGTGCTCGTCTAGTTTTTGGTAGAATTTACCTTTGATTATATCTGGATTGCAGTCCGTTGGAGCGCACGCGGACACGACAAACAAGTGCACCTTTGAATAGGGCCTACTCTGATCGGCAGGCAGCTTTGCTGTNATACCACACCTAACCTATCAGGGCCTTATGTGGCTCGCCAGTTCAAGTCCCGAGGCTCAGGTTACCGGTTTTCACAACTGAACGGCAGGACCTCGTGACTATGGGGTTCGCCTCGTCTGCTGTTTATCACAAAAGTGTAATAAAAAATTGGGGCGACCGAGTAGTAAAATGGCCCACAAAGCATTCAACTATGAACTATGAACTTTTGTCTTATTGGTAAACGACTGATACCTCATCTGGTTCGATGTCATATCCAGCCAGCCAGGTTCTTGTTTCTTTTGACATTCCGAATGCGTGGGTTCAGGTTCCGGTTCTTGTGGCCGAACAGTCCTCTGTATTCAGTTTTTGACTGAAAACAATGCTTGTGGTGTGGTTGCTGGTAGGCATAGGTTAGATGGTAAAGGTGAATCTTAATGAGACGTACCGGTGCAGGAGTAACCTGATGAATGATGTGAATCTGGAAGACTTCAAGAACATGTGCCCATACCCATTCACAGCATGTCAGTACTGTACCCCTGGCTTTGGTATTTTCTACAGATTCACTGTATGCAGAGCTGCGGAGAAATAGATCCGATGATGTTAATGGGCTAATGGCCCGATCTCCAGCGTGAAAAATTACCGAAACCGCCTCAACGTTTCAGCGAATTTCAACCGTTAAATGAGCGCCACTGGCTGAGAGAAACAAGTTTCTATAGATAGGTCCAAGATTGGCCTACCTGAGGAGGTATCAGTTAATTAAGTTGGAAAGCCCCTATTGCAATTAACCTCGAAATTTGGAACGGAGTCTACTCAATCCCGGCATTCTTTAAAACGCAGAACGCACATCAACCATAATGATTTAGAGTAGCGAAGACACATATGTCTGGCCTGTAAATTTCAGTGAATGATGAGGAATAAAAAGCAGAAGGCTAAGCGAGTCCTCTTTTTGGGCGAGAAGCAGCTTTGTTGTCTTCCGGCTCAATATGGTCCCAACCCTGCGGGGCTTTATGTGGTTCGCCACTCCAAGTTTTGGGGTTTATGTTTCCGGATCTCGTGAGCGAAAAGCAGGTCCTCGTGACAATGGGGTTTACTCTCTCTGCTGTCCATCATACGAGGGTTTGTAGAAATATATTTTCTATAAAGAAAAGTTGAATTTACCGCACGCCAGAGTATTTGAATTGAAAGTTGTAGTGAGCGAAAACAGTAACAACTCATGCTCCTTTGGAAGTTCACAGACACCATTGGAGGCGGCTTTTGCATAGCTATAAAAGCAACTTCAAGATATCACTGATCTCCATGAAACCTGTTATAAAGGGGACTGCAGCAGGGAACAAATACTCAATGTAACGAATACCGAATAGAGGTAGTTATTTATTCACTTTTCAAGTTGGCAGATTGACGTGGCACCACAGATCTGCTCAGCCANCAGCCACTGAACCATGACTGTTCCGGTTTAACTGGGATCAATCGTGGTAGGTTTCAGCTTGCGGCTAACGCCACACCAAACAACGTTACTACACTGTTCCGTCTTATCCCGTTTTTCATTTCCCATCGATTGAAAACTTAATCGGTCAATGGTTATTTAGGAGAGTAGCCAAATTAGTATGCGTTGTGTTACTTTCAAAGCATGCTGCAGTTAATGAACAAGCACAAAGGATACTAACAAAATATCCAGCTTTTACATTCACTCTGATTCAATTTGCAGGTAATGGTTGCTGAGGCTCTGGATATCGAAAGAGAGACTTATTTGGCCATACTCATGGACCGCGAGAACGGTTGTCCAATTATCGTAGCATGCAAACAAGGTGGTATGGAGATAGAACAGTTGGCAGAAGAATGCCCCGACGCTATTATCCGCGAGCCGGTTGATGTCAACACAGGAGTCACAGGTAGCTACTTATTTCGCTAACAGTTGAAATCCCAACCACTTATCTTATATTTCATTTTTCTATGTACTGAATTGGACACTAGGTAAATAAGCACTGCATTGAGAAGCAGTATCATGTTTAGTAAATGCTTATCACTCAGATCGCCCACTTTTGCTTGTAAGTGATACCCAGTTTAATGCCCAAGTGAGAGCATCCTGTTTCCCTTGAAATCGAAGGATATACCAACGCATCGGCACATCGTTTTAAAACTTGAAGAAAACTGCGTTCTATAAGTTTTTTCCCCACTACAATCATAAGGTCAATTTCCATTAAAATATGGAGTTCTCTGCCATTGTTCATTTTTGCTTAGCATTCCTCATTCGGTAAAGAAGCAAAAGCCAAGCTAATAAGAATTTAATTGTTGGGTGATTCCAACGTTTGGATAGCGATCGTCTCTGTGTCAGATGATAAACCGAAGGCGTTTTGTTAATGAGGTAAGCGTGTGATGAATGATGCGGAAAGCCCAATCAGCATTAACTAAGTGCCGTGTCTCCAGTGTGCGTTGACAGATAACACTTTTCACTGTCTTAGTTTAATAATACCTCCACCAGTGGGAGTGGTCGTGTATCCCCCTTGACGTCTGGTTCATTGTTCGGCCAATGTGGTTCGCTCCACAAGAGCATGTTAACGCGTGAAGGCACATAGAAGCGGTTTGAGATGAGAAAGGACAGTTCATCTTTGAGGTGGAACCGTATTGCTATAGACGGTAAATTCATGCATAGTTCAGCCCTTGTGAATGTTTGATGCAACGCTTGATTGATTCGTTTTGTAAGCCACTCAGTTGTGTTATCACCTTTGAATGGTAATGGTCGATAGTGGTATTCTAATAACTGGTATCCCGATTTCCAGTTGTTCGTCTACCACGAATTTATATAGAAACTCAATGGTCTCTAGAAGTGGGGAAGTCAAATCTAGGGAGTTTATTGTTTTTGTTAATATAGTTATGTTTTTGATCCGTTTGATGAGTTATTATGTATCCTTCAAACTGCAGGCGGATATTCGTTGTCTAATGGGGTTGAAAAGTTGCATTGACCATTCAGCTGTAACGCGATATGTGGATTTCGACCTACTCAGCATTGGTCTTACTGGTGCAGTTGGTTAGTGCATTTTTGAGAAGCCATATATTCATGGTATTGTCGAGCTTTGCGGTTTTGGCAAATCAAAGATTGCTGTTTCAACGTACTAAAGCACTTAGTTATTGTTCATTTCGTATTTTCTGTTCTACTCCGTATTCTCTCAGATTTTACCTCTTTCCACGTCATCCCCTTCCCATAAAAACAATTCCGGCTCCGTTGTCTGGTCTAGTTATGACTAATTTAGGATACCTCGGTGTTTCTGTTTGTTATACCGTCGTGCACACCTCACTAACGTACTTTCCAGAATATCGAGGTCAGGTGTTGAGTCGTCCTTTGGTTGTACGTTTTTGAACTTCACGTCTACTTGGATTGAGACACCGCGTAATGATTCAAGCCACTCCTTTTGTTCCAATGCTTATCTATGCGGGCACGGAAAGTTTGTTCTCTCAGCGCCGTAAAAGAAGGGTCTGGATTAACCAAGAACTCTTCATAAGAGCGGTTACTCAGATGGCTTAATAGACAAACATCTGGCCGATGGTGCCTACAGCTAATAGAAAACCACTATCAACCATTACCATTCAAAGGTGATAACACAACTGAGTGGCTTACAAAACGAATCAATCAAGCGTTGCATCAAACATTCACAAGGGCTGAACTATGCATGAATTTACCGTCTATAGCAATACGGTTCCACCTCAAAGATGAACTGTCCTTTCTCATCTCAAACCGCTTCTATGTGCCTTCACGCGTTAACATGCTCTTGTGGAGCGAACCACATTGGCCGAACAATGAACCAGACGTCAAGGGGGATACACGACCACTCCCACTGGTGGAGGTATTATTAAACTAAGACAGTGAAAAGTGTTATCTGTCAACGCACACTGGAGACACGGCACTTAGTTAATGCTGATTGGGCTTTCCGCATCATTTATCACACGCTTACCTCATTAATGGTTGTAACAACTGAACTGAACTGAATATTAACAAAACGTCTTCGGTTTATCATGTTATGCACAACCGAGGTGATCACTACCCGAACCTCAGATCTCTGCAATTAGAAGCAGTTCATCTAGGCTCTAGTTTTGCTATGGTTTTGGATGATGTAACCCATTATTACACCTCGATAGATACTGCAATGAACCAGTCGAAAGCAGGATCTCGTTAACAAACAAAACCTCTCTGCACTGAGGTTAATGCGATGAAGACCATATGGACTTATATGGATGACCCATATAGAATTTTAACGGTATATATATATATATATATATATATATATATATTTCACACTTGTCTGAGGACAGACTGTGTGCCAAACAAATCATGGTACAATAATCTTTATAAAAGAAAAATGTTCCGCGATTGGCTTGTGGGCTGAGTACTGCCAGGTTGCCCAGGCCAAGGCAGGTGAATTTTCTTGAGGAATCCACAACCGGAGCCTTCGGCTAGCCAAAGCCTGACCCGCAAGGCAGCGGGGCGGTGTGCGAAAACCGCAGTCCATTGGGAGCCGGTGTCCAGTTCATCGGATCATACGCCCTTCGGACGGGGTCAGACGTCCAAGGTGCCCAATACACCTCAATGCCCAATCGAGCCGGTGACCACTGCCACAACCGAAAAGGTGTGGGTGTGGTTCGTACGTCTCCTCATGGTTGGTTTGGAATCAGGGTTTTTGGCCAACTCCCCTAGGTGAACTGCCAGTGGTCCACCAACCCGGCTATAGCCCCGGATATCGGCTTTTCGTCCTCTCACTTTGGTGGGAAAACACCGCCGCGAGAAGGCAGTGAGTAGGGCTTCCTCAGCAGAAGCTATTTGAGACGCTTGGTCGTATGGGGGCATTTCGTGAGGTGCAAAGGCAGGGTGACCAGCCGCAACCCTAGACACCCACCCCCAACCATACTGAGGCCTTGGGAGGCGAATTTTAACGGGCAGTTGATTAGTTTATCAAAATACAGTTTGTTTAGTCCACTGCGCTTATGACTATACCTCGCGAATGATCACGTAGGAGGGACCGAATCTGCAAGCGCCGAATAGTAAAGCTGTTGGTGATAATGATAAATAAGGAATACAGAAGCGACCTCCTGGGGTTGACTAGATCTTGAGAGAAACAGCAGTTAGCTTGTTTTGTTTTGCGCTAACGACGGTTCAATTTCACCAACGAAGAAGAGGACTCCTCGACCTGGACATGGCTGTTCCAGAGTGTGGCACATTTAAATGTTATAAAGATTGAACGGTCAGGACGAGGAAGCGCTGTGTTGCTGACTAGGAGAGACAGACGATTGGTTTGAGAACAACCAATGAGTAGTGATAGGATTGACGGAACCATGAAAAAGCTTTGTTGTGGGAATAACATATGGAAGGTACGGAACGTCGATATTACTTGCAGCTGTTTCCCGTAGGATTATTATTTGATAGAATATTATTATATTTCACACATGTCTGAGACCAGACTGTGTGCCAAACAAATCGCGGTGCAATAATCTTTATCAAAAGAAAAACATTCGATTTGCATGTAGGTCGAATACTGTCAGGTTGCCCGGGCCAAGACAGGTGAATTTTTTTGAGGAATCCACAACCGGAGCCTTCGGCTAGCCAAAGTCTGATCCGCAAGGAATCGGGGCATTGTGTGAAAACCGCAGTCCCTCGGGGGCCGGTGTCCAGTTCATCGGACCATACGCCCTTTGGACGGGGTCAAACGTCCAAGGTGTCCAATATACCTCGATGCCCAATCGAGCCGATGATCACTGCCACAACGGGAAAGTTGTTGGTGTGGTTCGTACGCCTCTTCTTGGTTAGTTTGGAATCAGGGTTTTTAGCCAACTCCCCTGGGTGATCTACCAGTTGTCCACCAACCCAGTGATAGTCCCTGATATTGGCTTTTTGTCCTCCTCGAAAACGTCCTGTCGAAAATGTTACCACGAGAAGGTAGTGAGTAGGGTTTCCTCAGAAGAGGCTATTTGATACGCTTGGTCGCATGGGAGCCTTTCGAGGGGTGCAAGGAAAGAGTGACCAACTGCAATCCCAGACACCCACTCCCGAACATACTGAGGCTTTCTGAGGCCGACATGTAATTAATTTTAGATCTAGCTCATTTACTGATATAGGTGTTTGATATTCACTGATGATGGGGAACTTATTCCTTTTGGTTTTCTGTTCCATATGCAATTAGGCTCGTTCTTCACGCTCACTATGCACTTATTTTCACCACTCCCGTTACTATTCCCCCTCAATCTGTTCTTTTTTCTGTGACAATTTTCGGCGGAGCGAAAATTCCTCTGGAGCACTTGTTTGCCGGAAATGTCAAAAGCAAGGATCCTAATCGGTTCTTCGGAGGGTTGAAAAAATGACCATTTTAGTTGAACTGAATAAAAGCCATTGTCACTGGAATTCATACGGATGCATCACAAAGTTCACCGAGATGCTCACTGAAAAGCAGCTCGGATATCTTTCGGTTTAACGTCGTCCTTCATGTGATATCTTTGGGATTTCACTTATGAAGTTGATCGCTCAGTCCAATAGGTCATCGTAACTGTATTTTTATGCTTCATAAGAGGATAAAATAAATTCCTGGAATTATGTCCTACACTATGGGAGCCTTGTTATTTATGCTGGACAAGTGAGTTCAAAGGGGTGAGTGTAATGAACGAGCGGTCTAAAGTGACTGGCTCTAAGATCTGAGATAACCATTATACGATTGCGTTAGATGGCCAACAACTTCGCTCTCATCGAGCTCGATACAACCCCGGTTCTACTGGGATCGTACGTGTTTTGCCAGTCTAAGCTCCAGGGCTTAGATTAGCTGTTTTCTTAACTGAATGGTATGTCCATTCGGCTTTTGGTTCATTCGATATATTTTTATTTACACGGTGTGGAATAATCGACCACCACTTGATTGGGGCTTAGGGTTCCATGTATGGAAGTGAATTGATCCTCTTCTGCTGTGATACATGAGAAACTGTCAGTTTGTGGAATTTCACGTTGGAATGCAGACGGTTGTTAACCTGTGCATACGAACTGGCGAACGGAATTTAGTGTGAAATTCGGTGTTTGTTGTAGATTTGAACCAAAATTTGCGAAACTGTGAACATTTTTCATGAGTCCCTATTGGGTTTTGTTCCTTGGTCAGGAAACAACAAGACCATGATTTGTTTGTTTTTGTTTTATTGCAGACGACAGTTGAGAACGCTACTTAGTCTTTTTAGAAGCAGTACTTCACTACCGATTCTCCTATCAACGTTTTTCAGAAAAACAATCGGAACGTGTTGCTAATTTTCTGGGTTTCCAGCCGGGGACCCCTCAGTTCAAAGAGGCCGCCGAACAAATCCGGCGCCTGTATAAAATGTTCACGTCGCTCGATTGCCTCCAGGTGAGCTGTTTTGTTTCCACCTGCCACATCCATTTCTCTTAACAAGTTACAGTGGCGTATTACACCGTTGTTTTATCACCCGGCTAAGTTTCTCATAGGGGCTCTGTCTTTTGCCACTGACGATCCCACATCAGGATACACGAACCTATTACTGTTGTGTATTATCTAGCGGTATTTAGTAGGAAATAATATCTTAGTGTTGTTTTACCCTCCATTATGTGTAACTAGTTTGCTATGCGGAACAAATAATTGTCTGCAGTAAGCTACCCAGTTTCAGCTTTGTTGTAAAACCGTTAGACTGGCATTTTAATTTCCTGATGTCTATTGCATCATTCAGGGAAAAAGAACCATACAGATAGGGATTTAATGTCATTATTTACGCGGGCCATAAACCTCTTTGTTTTTGTCCAGCTCATTATCACACCTGTTTTATTGGGGCCACTTCAAGTCGTAGTCCCCGTTACCTAGCACTGGGTCCCTGTGACCGTCATCATACTAGAATGTCCGATAGAAAATGACACCCAGTCACATTTATTGGATACCAGTGCTACTTTTTCTTCCTGGTAGTTTACAAATTTTCCTAGCCCATCTAAACCGGATGGGCTCCGTCTATCACATCTCACGACTTTTCGATTGTCAGTGCTTATCATCAAGCAATAATGCTGTTGGAAATCACTCTTCACCATCATTGTACTACCTAAAAAACAGCTAAAATGGAATACAGATCGTAGAAAACTTTTTTCATCCGTTCGTTTGTCACTGTGTTGTTCAACTCCTGTTAACCAGACGCACTATTTTTCTACCCATCTCGATTTTCAGATCGAGGTTAATCCGTTCGGCGAAACTCCAGATGGGCGAGTGGTGTGTTTTGATGCGAAGCTCATGTTCGATCAGAATGCGGTATTTCGACAGCCTGAGGTTTGCCAGATGGCAGCTGAAGTTGAAGCGGTTGAAGTGGCGGCAGCCGGACCCCAGAGCACAGTCGCTCTTGAAGCCGAAGCGACCAAACTCGGTTTAAACTATATTGGTATGCCTGAAGGCAATATTGGTTGCGTTGTAAATGGAGCCGGTTTGGCTATGGCGACCATGGATCTGATCAATTATCATGGCGGTAAACCAGCAAACTTCCTTGATCTGGGTGGAGGTGTATCCGCCAAGCAGGTAGAAGCTGCTTTTCAACTACTAACGCGTAAGTATTATCGAATCTCAGTACTTTTAGCAACATTTCACCCAAGTTTGAGACCTACTGAAGTTGTTTATATTTTTTCATTAAACGGGGAAGAGCGAAATTTATTTTTCCATCTTGCGGAAATTCATCCACGCTTTCATCACGCTTATTCAATGTTTGATTGAATGAATCAGTCAACAGGTCATTATTTATCTATTAATAACTTAACTGTATGCTTAAAGCCAGTCGAAACTAACCATTGCACCCCTCGCTCCTGCAGTTTTGATTGTTCTAGTTTATTCTTCAACGTGGATTACCTTCACTGAAAATTGTATGTGATCACTACATTTGGTGATCCCTTTTGTTATATTTTGGTAGATTCCGTGTTCAGCTTTTCTTGCATGACAGATTGTCGTTGGTTCTCGACTTCAAGCGCGCTCCATCCTACCCTAAACTTAGCCTATTTCGTCATGTTTGAGGGGCTCGGCCAGAGTGTCATTAGGGTTTTCACTCGATCTTTCGGGATATGCTCCTCACATCCATTTAGTTATTCTCTGCTAGGTTGAAGATAACGATTTCAGCGTTCTACGTGCAAGGTCCCGAGTTCGTTCTCTTGCTGGATCGATGGATTCGCACTGGTGATGCTACCCAACTAGGTTGAAACATCTGTCCAGTGCTTCCTAGCTTTTTAGCTCACGCTTCATCTAGACGGTGATTTCATCATTCTATTCATTCAACGGCTTCTGCAATGATACAATTCGATACAGTTACGTTTTCCACGGTTGTTTTCAATTTTTGCATCCTCATTACTCCAAGCCCTAGGTTGGTACCTCTCCTAGTCGAGGCCCTAGTTCATGTGAATGTAGTGTTTATCCCTTCTGTTGTTCTCCATATGGGACCACATATATAATCACTGCTATCGGAAGAACACTGGCATATGAGAAGATAAGTGTGTGATAGCGATGAGAAAGTTGCTCGAGAAAGATCAATCTCGTGTTTGATTCTGGGTAGAAATTTTGTTGCTGTCTATTTCTTTTCTCCCTTCGCACATTGGCTGTGAACCGATTTTGCTCAAACAGGGTACACAATAGCCTAAAACAGCCAATGCAAAATAATCAGGTTTCGTTAGACACGCTTGGGTCCGACGGTCGCGTACCGTGCGAAATTGCCCTCTGTGCACACGTATTTTTGGCTAGTCTGATAAATGGTGCACTTCCATATGGCCTATTTTTATCATTCCCATAACTAATCGCATCCCTGCCTTTTGTCCCCTATCCCTCGTAATTGATTGGTCAGCAGCGTATGTCTAAAATCGAGGGCGAACCACGTTCTGTCTGCTTCGCTCTGCTCCGCTTAGTTATCGATCGAGAAAGCTAGTCGACTGCCTTCAGGCAGACCAGGTCGCTCCGTTGGGCGGTCGATAGCTTCAGGCGCTTGTCTACTTTTGTCGTGTCATAAATACCAAGCTATAGTCGACACATGTGAATCGATCTGAGTAACGTAAGCTACACAAAAATAGTTTGTCGAAGTTACCGTTAAATTTTCCCGCCCTTTGATCTGTCTAATTTCATATCGGGCACGTTCTAAAACTTTTCACTGCACGTGCACAGGTCACATTTTTGAGAATACTGGTGTAATGTGTTCACCGGTAGACCCGTTCCGTTTCTACCTATATACTCGATTTATCAAGGTACCCTTCGAACAGACTGATTTCTCGAGATAGGCTGGGGGCTGGGGTAACCTCGTGACCCAATTTTAGTATAATAAAAATAATAATAATAAGCTTTTACACTGTACAAAATAGCCGATGCTTTTGAAAAAACCTTGATCCACTGGAACCTGGCAAACCTTAGATGAAAAGTAGAGTGATCACTGTGATGGGGTTGGAACTCAAACTTCTACGGGGAGCAGTCGGCCACCACCACCACCACTTATGCTTGCTGAATCTTCATAATGGTTCGTATTAAGGGAAAATAAATATTAATATATATTCATATTCATAAAACCACAATGACGGTTGGTTTTCATGAACTGATTTGTGTAGTACTTGCGGAATATCACATTCCCATTAACAAAGCGGATGAGTTCACACATAAATTACGGACTAGGCCACGAATTGAAACGCAGTCAGCAAAACTCTGCACAATGTGACCTGTTTGTTTCGAAGGCTACAGTCGGAGCATATGCAGACACGAATGGAAGATTATAGTTCAAGATAAACAGCTGGACAATCAGCCTGACAAAATCGAGTGGCTTCTTTCAGTCGCCCTTATCTAGCCAACTTTTGAAGTGTACTACTGCCACGGAGGAGTGTACAGTTGCCACCGCTACATCCATATCCTCTGTTTACCATAGAATACTATATTGGTATCATAATGGTGTTAATCGTAGTCATTCTCTTCGTAACCGTAATCACTACCATTACAATTATTTATTTGAGTCCCATGTACCTCAGGACTCTGTTGTCACAAAAAATGGGACTGTTTCACACAAAACATAAGGCGTTTTATCACACGGAATTTCCTTTCGTTTTCATTAAACAGTGGAATTTCTTTGATGGACATGAATTACTTTAAAGAACCCATAGAACAACAAAACGATGAGTAGTTTCGCTTGCCGTGCTCTTTATCAGTTTATTTTCGGTTTTTTATCCGTCTGTTTATCTTTATCCGTCTATTGTTTTGGCTTTGATCTTACGCATTTCGCACTATCGGACCACTCAGTGCTTTAATGCATATACCGAGTTCTTAAGTTCAGTCAGCTCCGTCATGTTTCGTACCCTTTAAATTTATTCAGGTGACCCGCGAGTGGAATGCATTCTGGTTAACATTTTCGGCGGTATTGTCAACTGCAACACGGTGGCCGAGGGTTTGCTGGCGGCGTTCAAGAAGCAACACGTGAATGTTCCGGTTGTTGTCCGATTGGAAGGTACCAACAGCTCTCAGGCTAGAAAGACCTTGGCTGCTGCTAATATCGGTCTGATTCCCGCTGAAACTTTGGACAAGGCTGCTGCGATGGCTGTCTCAAAGGCCAAGAAATAGATAACCAATGTGCGAATGCGTCCGAGCCTGTATAGCCGACGGACTGTGTTGAACGGCTTTGTTCTCCGCATTTCACAACTAGTCGTTTTCCATATCACCCGTAAATAGCCGGTTTCTTGTTTCCGAATGCAACAACCAGGTTCGGTATTCTTACCAATTCGGTGATCTGTTGATCGGTTCAGATATCAACTCGACACTTTCAAGTGTATGCGTTACTGCGTTTTTTTGCATATCAGTCATGTTTGCAGTAAACCGTACTTAATCTCCTGGGGTTTTTGGCTCGTTTTATCGGTATCCGGTGAAACACCTAACGGAATCAATCCAATGGGGTGTAGGATGAGCACCATAGTTAAAGAATATGCTACCTTATGAACCAGTGGTGTACCCGCCAGATTTCAATGTATTACGGACTGAGACCCTGCTGTTGCTAGCATTCTCAAGTCAATCAAACTGAATTAGTTAGTGGCGGTTCTAGTACTGGTACCTTATGCTCTACGCATCCCTGAGCGGATCAACTAGAGCGATTGCAAACAAGTTGTGGAGAAAAATCCCGCGGGGTAAATACTGGGGCACCAAAGTTGTTGATTTCATTTTTTGCTGTGTGTAACTCAATCGTCCAAAGGGGAACCCGGTGAGCAAACATCGATCGTTTTCATAAGCTTCTCTGTCACATATCGTACTACATCCCGCTCGCTTTGGATCCTGATTATCCTACAACCCACTAGTACCTCAAGACCTGATTTCGAGAAACGTGTGTGAACGAAAATTCAATTCACGGATAAATTGCAGTGCACTTTTCGCTGACGCCTTGGGCTTTTCTCATTTATTGTTCCACGGTAGTTCAACCTTGGCTAGTGCCAGTCGAAAAATCGTATGATTAAGGCGTAAAGCATACGAATTGTGAAACGTATAATGGTGGGAACGTGAATTTCACGAGTGATATTAATCGAAAAACGTGATAATGCGCACTGATACTGCGTGCTTACAGCATGGTGCGCGAAATGCTGTTGACCCCACCCTAACTTTGTACCATTTCTCAATAACCTTACCACTCAGATCTGTGAGAGTTGTGATGATGGTGATGATGATCAAACCTATTCTGATCGCGACTCTAAAAAGCCTGTCACAGTAAGTTTCCCCGGGGGTGCGGAAAATGATGGAGGCACCCAAATTGCTACAAATCACTAGTCTTTATTATCCGTGTTACAAACAAAATGGTCAGGTTCCGTATAGTGTGAACTTCCACGTTGTTCCATTTATGGAATTTAAACTTTTTTAGTTCGTGGACAGTATTGAACACTGCTAAGCAAAGATGCAGGTAAATTGTAAGTTTTCTGGATAGCCTGAGTACCAGCGTAGTCATGTTCGGTATGCGTTTTGCACCTTTAAAGTGTAAAATGTTACTACAAGACTGGGGTAGTCCAGCACCCAGCCTCACTCTAACTGGGGAAGTAATAGAGCAAGTGGATAAGTTTTGTTATCTGGGTAGCTACATCTCACCCGGTGGAGGCATCACGGATGAAGTGTCAGCTCGCATACAAAAAGCTCGATTGGCATTAGCCAACTTGAGACATCTATGGCACCGTCGCGACATCCGGCTGTCTGTGACGGGTCGAGTGTATGCCGTGACAGTTCGGCCAGTTCTGCTATACGGTGCAGAAACTTGGCCACTACGGGAACAGGATAAAATAGACTGCCAGGTGTTTAAACACCGCTGTCTACGCAGCATTGCACGAATCTGGTGGGGTAGCCGGACGAGCAATGCTGAAGTCAGGCGCAGAATTTTAGATAAATGCGGTCACCCACTGGAGCAACCGGTGGACCTTCATAGATTACGTTGGTTGGGGCATGTGTTACGCATGTCACCAAATAGGTTGCCACGGCGAGCAATGTTTGCCGAGGCGGGTAGTGGGTGGAAAAAAGTCAAGGATGGTCAAGCTAAGACCTGGCACGGGGGTATGGAGCCCCTGACCAGGGGACTGGGTCGCATAGGTCCCATCAGGCTCCCTGGCTGGGGACCTCGGGATGGTCGTAACCGATGGTTAGAGACCCTGAGTGTTGTGAACAATGGCGTTCGTGCATCTCAATTTCTTTGCAACCCTAGACCACTGAAATTCTCCATTTCTGTTCGACTCTACTTTCAAAATCCCTGTCTTTCTCCTATTCCTCATCCAAATGGGCAGCCAAAAGACAGCAACCAAAGCCGCCGCACGAAGGTGCATGGTTAATGGTTGTACAGACTGAGTTGAGCACTTCTCTTGTCGCGCAAACCCGCCTCGTCAATAAACCCCAAACAAATTCAATTTGGTTCCAGTCTGGACTGCGGACTGGCCGTTCCATTCTCTTGATGTTCCGGTGCAGCAGTCACATCCTAGTCAGATTGGTGCTTTATATAAAAGGTTAATTATGTGAGATGAATCATGGCTCGCAGTCTATTTTCTGGGATCGCTTGCCAAAAATCATGTTCAAAATTTGTTCGTAAAAGTCACTTATTATATTTCCATCGAAAACCACCAGCTGGGACGTTCCGTTCTCAAAAGTAGCAACCTTAGACGGGAATCGGCCGCTGAAAGGCACTTTCCTCTTGCACATGCCTCCAAAAGCCTCAGTATGGTCCGGCTGTGATTGGTCATCATTCTCTTACACCTCGCGAAATGATCCTATATGACCAAGCGTATCGAATAGCCTCTGCTGAGGAAGTTCTATTCACTGCCTCCTCCTAGTGACTGTGGTGTTTTCGCACAAAAGTGAGATGAAAAGTCAACATCCGGGGCTGTAACCGGCTTGGTGAATCATTGGTAGTTAGTCTAGGGGATTTGGCTAAAACCCTAATTCCAAACCAACCAAGGAGAAGCGTACGAACCACAAACACCATCCTGGTGGCAGTGGTCACCGGTTCGACTAGGCATCAAGGTGTGCTGAGCACTTTGTACGTTTGACCCCTTCCAAAGGGCCTATAATCCAATCAATCGGATACCGCTCCCCAATGCACTGCGGAGTTTCGTCCTGTTATCTTGCCTGGTTGGCTTTCCAGCCAAAGCTTCAGGTAGGGACCCACTTCCTCGGTCAGGGTAACCGGAATGGAAGTGTCTACACAACCTATGAACATATTCTACCAACTAGCACATTTGCCAGTTCAATGTAATTGGTTACGTGTTGAATATTGGCGGTAATATAGAAAACCGCCAGACCTTTTGAAGTTAGGTTTTATCATAACCGGATGTCATCATTCCACTGGCTAGTATGTCTCGTCGTTCCAGCTCCGATAGCCCTGAACCGCGTGTCATTCGTCTGTCTCAGCTGATGACAGATCCGCGGTGTAGGGCCTCGGTGAAAACTGTTTACTTGCTGTGAGTTATGAGTGTTGTTCTATGGATGTACGACTAGACTACCAGCTAAATTAAAGGCAAAACAGAGTCTTCTAGCTCACATGAGAAGCTACAGAATAAACTTTGATAAAATCACAGCTTAGTGTTAATAACAATGGGTGAAACTTTGAGTACATTTTCTAGAATAATTTAGACTGAGACAATCTTACTTGAAATTGGTTTGATTCACTTATACTATATTCCTCCTCTCACACTTGTTCAATCTGGGTGGTGCGCTTTCGGAAATGCAGCATGAAAACAGGGCGGGGTTTATAGCATTTGGTGCACCAGGTATAAAACGTGAATCAATGTGCCGGTCACATGGTATGCGGCGAAATACAGAGATTGTATCTATCCAAACTTTCAGTCCCTTTGTGCTTTTTAAGCGGCCATGACTTGGCATCAAAAGACAAACACTTTTAGTGAACGTTAAACCAATTTGTGTACACGTCCGTGGATAGGTCATCTTTTGCATTAACGCGATAGTCGACTAACATGTGGTGGCCTTAATTTATCTTCGCTCTTGACCGTTCAGCGTTGTTGGGTGTGTCCCGTGATCGAGAACGGGTGTTATGGTGGTCATGTGATATACACCACTAACACATCTATCCACGACTCGGATCTACTCGTCCCACTGCCTATCAACTGTTTCCGTTTTTTACTCGATATCCGTTGATCGGTCATGAAGTAATTCTCTGGGTACGCGTGTGTTTGCTTCCATTTTTGGCTGATGTACTAGACCATCACCTAAGCCAGAGGAGAAGGTTGACTTGAAGGACATCATTCGGAACCTATCACAAAGAGGTAAAATCTACAAGGCAGTTAGTGCATCGGTGTTCTAAGTCCGCATTTCGTTGAGAGTTGGTTTCTCATCCAGTGAATCATGCAACCTTCAGGCGGAGCTTCCTCACCATGTATATCTTGACTATCCCATGGCCCAAGGGGCGCAGATCGCTAGGTAGCGTTTCCAGAGAAGCCGGGGACGCTGAAATCCGTTTGCTAAAGCATCCGACCATTATCGTTAAGTTTGTGTATACATTCAGTTTTTCTCCGTAAATTCCACGAGGCGTTCTTTTAGGTTAAAACCACAAGAGCCGGAATATTAAACTTCCCTAAAGCGGACTGTCAGTTCGCGACTCTTTTTTGGTTTAATCGATCGTATTTCTTAATTTAATGCTTCGAACAAGTTTTCCTATTTTCTTCTCAATCTGAAAAAGAATGAATACAAATGAGATCTATGTGGCAAGCGACTTATTGAGTGAGAAATAATTTTCTATTATTAATATAAAATGGTAAAGTTAAGAATTTACTGGTGATGACCAGATACTTTGTGAACGATAGCTTTATGGAAGCTGAGTTGTAACAGAAGAAGTTGAATACACATTTTGCGTGATTTTTGGTTTGGTGTGTGATTCAATAAAGAGCAAAATACTTCTTCAAGATTGTCAGCAACCTCGACCTGTTTTCCGTTGAATTTAGTCGACAGCGTCCGCAAACTTTGAAACAATGTACTAACTGGTGGAGGCATTCGAGGTGAGATCACATTCCGCGTAGAAAAACCAGACCGGCTTTCTCTGAACTAAGATATCTGTATCGCCACCGCGATATCTGCAGCCTTCTTAAGGGACTACT